CAGGGATTAGGTCTTTTATAACCCCTATTTTAGCACTTTTCAACCTTGCCCAGAAGGTTTGTCTCATAGATTTCTATACTATCTAAAACTAGATTATGTGTATTATAGTATTTTCTTGAAGATAGGTCTTTCATTGCACTGACTGATATTTGGCAAAAATATACTGTCTCTGATAATGCTCAGTATTTGTTTTTCCAATTTCATAGTTTTGAAATGATGGAAGGCAACAAAATTGATTTCTTTATGAAAGAATATTCAAATACCCCCACATGCATTTGTATGAAAGAATATCTGAATAAAATCTATAAAGTCCTATCAGCTCTTCATAAAGATCTGATTGCATTTTTAAAAAAGTTACAATGTCATTCAGTTACAGGTCATGCAATCCTATGTATGGCTCCTTGGAAATAATTCACACCATGCTCAGTGGAAGCTAACGTGTCAAGGATAGCAATCTTAGACATTGTATAGGGGTGTGGAACCCAGCAGCCACATGTAGTTCATAAAGAGTTTTAAGAAATAGGTTGCATCCTTCCAGAACCTTCCCAGGTCATCTACTACTACTACTACTGAGGAATGTTGAGAGTTACAAAATGTGTTTCTACCTGAAAATGCACAGGATTGCATCCTGGAATGCCTTTCTCAGAAAAAGATGTAAGGTGTCTTACAACCAGGATTAAAATATACACAAATTTGAAACAATTTAAAATAGCTACAACAATTACCAATGAAATATTAAGAGCCAGTAAAACAGCTCAATTGAAAGCCATCATCTGTTCTCATATGCCTAATAGCAGATGCAAGACTTAACTCTCAAGCCAAAAAGGTGAGAATGTGGACACCAGGCAGACCTCCTTGGGGAAAGCATTCCCCAATCAGGGCGCTGCACAGGACCTCTCCCTTACTGCTATCTTCCAAAACTCAAATGTTGGTCATGCATGCTGCTGGCATGGATTGGCCCCGGTCCCTGGACATGAACAAATAAGCCTACACTGATTATGGCCTATTCCTCCCTTCTCCTCCGACCAATCCTCAACACACTGAGCCAATGAATGAGCTCCATATTTCTCCACAACTTACAAAGGAAGATCCTTAATCATGTTTGACCTTTCTCTGCTTCTATCCAAACTTCACCCAAGCATTTCATGAACCTGCTGAAGATTTTCATGCTGGAATCTGTCCTTGAAATTCCTTTGTCCAGGAATGGCTGCCTTAAGGTTAGTCAAGTGTCCATCCCCTCATTTTTTAATACTTCCATTTATATTGCCTTGTTTGTGTCAGATTCTAATGCAAGTCAGCAAAACGAAAAGTTCATTAAGTAGTTCAACACCATCTCCTATGGGTTGGATAAAGAAACATCTTGTTGTTCTTACCATGCTACCTATATTAACGATTGCAAAGATACCTGTTACTACCAGAACAGCTACTGTTAAGGTCAGTGCCAGTGCCTATACTTTCTGCATTTCAGTTCCCTCTGAACTGCTCATAGTTCCCCACCACCACCATGTACATATATAGTGGCAAGGGCTGTAGTCCACAAAAGCCTATGTCATAATAAATATGCTGTTTTTTTAGGATCCACAAGATGTTTTGTTTTGTTTTGTTTTAAATAAGGTTTCTAACCAGGGAGAAAAGCACTACCTATAAATCCTAACGCCACGAAGGACCCTATTATGTATTTATTAAAATAGATGTCAAAAAGATCTTCCTCTTCTCACCAATATTTGCTGACTTATACCACCACTGCATTTCCAACTTAAGCCTTGAATGGTAGGCAGCTCTGCTAGGATCTTGCCGGTGTCCCGTTTACTCAAACATGGCTACTATTTTTATGTTCTCCCTCCCTTCCCCAAGACACATAAATATTCTGCCCTTCCTCATTCATCCAACACTACATGACCTGGAGACTCATCCTAGATTTCCTACTCACCTCAAAGTCAGTCTTCAGACACAGAACCACACCAGCTACAGCAGAAGCCCCACCATCTTATCATCACCTCAGCAGCTATGATGACCACTCAAAAGACAGAATACTTTTCCTTATTTATTTATTCATTACATTTATATCACACCTTTTTACCTTTCAAGGAACTCAAAGAAGCTTATATGATTCCCCTCGTCTTCTTGCTCTTATCCCCCGCAACAACACCCTGTGAGGAAGGGTTAGGGTTAGGGTTAGATCTGTGCCTGGCCCAGGGTCACCCAGTTGGCTCCATGGATAAGCGGGGACTAGAACCCAGATCTCCCGAGTCCCAGTCCCAGGCTCTTAACCACTGCACCACACCGGCTTTTCCTTGACCTGCATATAGGCAGGAAACAAGTTGGCCCTCCTTTCCAGTTTGGCCAAACATGACAAACACACCCAGAGGAATTAGCATCACATTTCTGCACTGCCTGTAGCCAAAGCTCTCTGAGCAGTTCACAACATTTTAAGTAACCCACCCAGATTGCAACCAGGCCCAACCCGGTTTAGCTTCCAAGATCAGGCAGGATCAGACTTTTCAAGCTATATGGAAGCTATACAGAAGATCTGCATATACAGAATAACTACATATACCTTGCATACAAGACACATATATATTGAAGCAGAGGATCTCAATTACACAAAAGCTCATCTTGCACAATTCCACCACCGACTACTTTAGCTATGTCACTGATGTCGTAAGACATCTGCTTTTGTTCCACCTCGCCCAGCACACATAGAAGGTCTATTTTCCCAAATTCAAGTGCATGACCATAACCAAACCCAAGGTACAGCACAGTCCCTTAATATCAAGTTTTGAGAAAGTGGAAAGTTGCAAGGAAGCACACCAATTCTCTCCTTCCTCAGAGGCAAATTCAAAGTGAAGCTCAAGCTCCTTTGAGCCACATTGCTGGAGTATGTCAAAGAACACAGGGGAGGTGGCGACGTGTCATTCAGAGCAAGAGTTTCCCATTTCCTCCAAGTTTTCTACAGAGAGCTTGCTGAAATAGAAGAGAATGCTGCACTGGGCATCTAAGACTGGAACGGCTGACTCAGAAGAAAAGGTACTCCTCAGTGATGCAGGCATTAGTCATGACTATTTCTACAGTCAGGTACCTGCACTAAGCCCAAAAATTCAGGCATCTGCATTGATCCTTATCAACAAATCAGTTTTACTGATTCTAATCTCCATCAGAACAGGTTGTTGTAAACCAAATGGGGCTTCACTATCCATTCAAGACCAAGACAGTTCAATACACATTATTACAAAGCAATAACTCACAACTATATACTGTTAACTTGAAAACATTCTTTATTTCCCAGGCTAATGTGAGAGTTTCAGCTAAAGCTCAGAAAGAATTGAGAATTCTGAGTGGATTGGTGGCAGACGATGTCAGCCTCCCAGCTAATCAAAAAAGGACCAGGGCTGCATCCCTGCAAGCCCTGACTGCACCACACCATTGGTACATACCTGCCCTTTTGCCAAGTAGTGACCACATTCATGCAGCATGCTCTGTAACAACTCTGAACACTGAACGAGGAGGTTTTAGCACCAAAATCAAGGCCTCCACTTCTATGCAGTTCAGATCAAGGTTGTGGTAAATCATCATCATTTGAAGTCCACCTGGCACTTGCAAATACAAGGTATTGAGAATCTGTCTGATCCCCAGTAAGACGGTTGCACAAATACTATTAGCAATAAGCAACCTTCCCACTTGTAAATATATATCGGGAGGGGAGTGTTTGCTATATACAGAATGGAGCACTAAGGATGAATGAACTACCATTCATAGGACTAAGTGCACAAAGTCTAAGGTAATGAGCCTGAGCTCACTTTGATTTTGTGACTATCAAGAGGAATGAACTTGCCAAAATTGAAATCAACCCTTTCACTAATAAAAATCCGCCCCCCTCCCTCACCCTGCACACAGAGGAAAACACTTGGCTAAAATCTTAACATCCCTCTCCATCCCAAGAACACATTTCATTCTTGCTGCCCTGGGAAAAAAGCCCAAGAGCCCTACTCCCATAAAGGGACACTTGAAAAAAAGAAAAACATTTCAGGATCTTTCCACCCTGGTTACCAGCAAGCTCACACACAGTAATGAAAGCATTCATTGCATTTCACTATTTACCTAATTGGACTTTAATGTGCTGAGTGGTTGGTCATTAATGAGATTTTACTTTTTATAAAGAGAGGAAAAGAAAACACAGAGAAAGACCATCACAAATGAAAAGAGGAATAAATGGTGACAATTTGCAAAGAAGGAGGGTGGCTGTTTAACAAGAGAAAGCTAGAACTATGGGCCTTAATTTCCAGTTCTGGCACTGATCTGCCGTTTGAGGTTGAATGATTCACTTCCCATCTGCGTTTCCTCCCTCCTTTCTGTAAACCAGGGACAAAAAAATCTATGGCGCCACAAAAACTCTCCAGTACCTTCTGCATTACCTACATCCCAATGATAGGGAAGTTTAGAGACATGTCTGATGTGTGGGTGTGACAAATTATGCAGTATCTGGCATCTCTGATTTTTACTAAGACAGGATTTTCCCCAGTTTTTTAAATGCTGTGGTGTATGAGCTGCCTCAAACCAATTGGATGTAGCAGATATAAATGCATATACAAAAATAAATGTACTTTTATTACTCCCCACCAAAACCTCTACTGATACTGTGGGACAGAATGCACAGAACTGCAAGACAGGCATTTATGGAAGGAAGCACAGAAGGAGCTTATTGATTTGCAGTCATGAGGGACAGAGTAATTGCTATTACTATTTATTATAGCAGGACCCCCATATCCACTAGCTCAGTTACCACGTTTGCAGTTAACCGCGGTTGACCTCGGCCAAAAGAGAAGTCATCAAGTGCCGCAAAGTGCCACAAAGAAGTTGTAAAGTGCTTCCTGTAAGTGAAAATTCTTGTTCCAATAGGGAAAAAAAAGTATTGTATGCTGAGGAAAGAATAAATGACATTGTGGAAAAAAGAAATGTACTGTATATAGTATATATAATATAGTGTTTGCTATTAACTGCAGTTTCAAGCATCCACTGGCGGGCTTGGAACCAATCTGCCCGGATATGGGGGTCCTGCTGTGTTATTAATTACATTTCTAGATCGCCTGTAGCTGAAGCTCTCTGGGTGGTTCACAACATTAAGTCATCCATCCAGATTTCAACCAGGCCCGGGCCTGCTGAGCTTCCAAGGTTAGGCAGGGTCACCCAGCCAATCCATAAATCTCAAATCAAGGGATCTTCCTAACACCAAATCCAGGGAACCTGTTTTTGCCCCTAACTACAGCCCAAGTACAGTGTCGTAGTGGCAAATACAGAAGTGCAGGAACTCAGTAAGACAGCCTCCACAGCCATGCCACCAAGGGGAATGCACAGGTATGACTTCAGTAAATAGATATCCTATTTTACTGTTATTTATACTGACTGGAACTAGTATGCTAGTTAAAAGCCCTGACAGACATAATAATTATGGGGGATGATTGCAAACCTGTGCATAGTTATCTGAAAGTAAACTTGACTGAACTCAGTGACATTTACTGTATATACCACTGTATATACAGTATATACTGTATATACCAGTGTACTGTATATACCAGTGTACACGACAGCACCTGAAACCAGACATAGCGAGGCAAACCATGGGGTGGGTGGGAAGGGGTCATCTTATACACCAGGTGAATTTTTTTCATTACACAGTAGGATCCCTGTATCCACAGGGGATAGGTTCTAAATTGCAGGACCCCCATGAAAGTGGAAAACCATGAATTATCTCTACAGAAAAACCACAGATATCTCTAGGGACTCTGTTTGGGATGCCACTCTTTTTGTCTCAGTATGAGCCAGCCTCACCTTGCTTTGTCTTTCAGAGGATGTGAAGACACTAGAGATACTCATTTTTTTCTAGAGATATTCACTCTAGAAATATATCTGCATGTAAAAGGGTCCTTGAAATTGGGAATAATGAAGCAAACCATAGGGGTCATCTTATATGCCCAAAATTTGACAAACATCAAAAAAACCAGCCCAAAATATTGACCTCATCTTAGACGCAAGTCACCTTTTACACAATTATATATGATACTTTTGGTAAAATAAATTTTACAACATACTGACTTGTTTAAAAAGCTGTTCAGATAACTGGAGTACAATCTTTAGTTTCTAATTAGCCTTTCTAACCTTTTAACAATCTTGCTAAGAAATGCCAGGGCGACGTCGGAAGTCCATCGTAGGGGTATCCAGGAGTTGTCTGATTGTTTTTCTCATTCTTTGACATCTGTGCTAAACTGTCATAACAATAGTCAAACTTGAAAGCCTCATTATCACCTCATTCACTTACCAGAGCAAAGTGGGTCTGCCAATTACAGTCCAAGTAGGTAACACTGGCATTCCTACTCCAAAAAATGTCTCATAGCTGTGCTCTCCTCTGTTCACCCCTCCATGACACCACTTTCTAAGTAGCCATTTGCCTACTGAATCTAATATCCTGCAGTTCACTGCACAGGCAAGAGCCTTAGAAATAGAACAGGCTTCTCCACCTGGATTCCCTCCAAATGCATTGAACTACAACTCCCATCTCTTGGACCAGCATGGTGATCATGCTGCCACGAATGCTGGAAATGCAGTCCAGGGTGTTTGGAAGGTGACAGGTTGGACAGGACTAGCGCAGGCATACTCATCAACAGCCATTGCATCTTCCACCATTATCTCACTTGCAAAATGTTAGTGCCAACACATGCAGACATGCACAGAACAGTAACTGCAAAGCAGGGCCTCTCTTCCAGAGGCCGAGCCTCCAAGCTAAGAACTGGTTGGATGAGGCCACACAACAAGGATTCAGTGATAAAGCTGTGTAGTTTTTGTCTGAGACCTGAAAAGAGACTTCCTATTGAAATCCATTTGCCACTCTCCATTCCACATCACTGCCATTCGTTTATTTACCCCAATTGCTACAGGGAAGAATTGCCTCTACAAGAGGTGGAGCTCATTTACCAGCAGCCAAAGATTTATACAGATCCACAACAGGCATGATCAGAATCATTTGTCACCCAAAACCGCCGGAAGAGAGGCACATCCCTCACCTGCCCACAATGACAGATGCCTGCTGCAAGAACTCTAATAGCAAAGCTCCTTTCTTCCTTGCTCACTCGCTTGTTTGCTCCCTGACAGTGTACCAGAAACCATCAAACTACACCCTCAAGTATATTAGGCTCAAAATCAAGGGAGCTGCACAAAACTAAGCCGATGTCCCACATTCCATACTGTCCACTGTAATAAGTATTTGTTTCATTTGACTTACTACATGACAACCTACCCTTTCTCCAAGGCACTCAAGGTAGTATTTAAGCAAGGCTTCCCCAACCTGGTGTCTTAAATTGTAACGCCCACTGGCTCTGCTTCTGCAAGTGGGTCACTCAACGGGCAACACAAGCAGGATAATCAAGTATAGAGGCCGTTCATCTTCTCTCCTTCATCCCTCACTTCTTTATCCCAATAGTGCTGCACTTAAAAAGTTTCCAGAAGCTTCAATTGGTGCAAAAGGCTGCAGCTAGATTGCTAATAGAAGCCCAGACTTGTGACCATACAATTAATTTATTTATTTATAGATTTATATCCTGCCTTTTTCCTACAAAGGGCTCAAGGCAGCTTACGTCATTCTCCTCCTCCATCTTATCCCCACAACAACAACCCTGTGAGGCAGGTTGGGCTGAGAGTCTGTGGCTGGCCCAGAGTCACCCAGGTGGCTCCATGGCTGAGCGGGGACTCGAACCCAGATCGCCTGAGTCCCAGTCCCATGCTCTTAACCACTGCACCACACTGGCTCACAATAACAGTTGATATCCACTGGACAGGCTCCCCTCCTGTTTCCAAACCCCATTCATGGTGCCATTTATCACTTTTCAAGTCCTAAACAGTTTGGGACTTAGAGTAGCTCCACAGGGGGCGGGGAGAAATGATGTGGGTTTCTAAAGCATACTACCAGGCTCCGCCTACAAATATCAAGTCTGCAGAGATCCAGTGTTTATTCTACACTTTGGGAAAAGAGGTCGCAGATTAAAAGAAAAGCCCTATATGTGAGAATGGAGCAATAAATGGATGGGGCAGGATGAATGGGGAACCAAGTTTGCATGTCAGGGTGTGAGGAAGACAGCAGGTTGGTAATCAGAAAGAAGACCAATATTCAAATTATGCGAATCCACTATGGATATTTAACCCATAGGACTTAGTGACACAGACAAGTGACCATTTTGATTATCCAAGGCACAATTATGGCTTGTCGGGTCATGTGAAGCTGGTGAGAGTGAGTTCTTCACATGGTTAACCAACTTCCCAGAACCCACGTGCCTGTTAAAGCTTGTGGGTAGGTGGTTAACCAAGCCAACAACCCACTGCCTCCAGGTTCACATGACAGGACAATCTGCGACTGCAGTTTGACTGTGCAAAAGCACACAGTGGAAACTAAAGCGATCGTGCAAAAGGAGGGTCTCTTCCCCTTCCGATTAGGAACACAGAGAGCTGCCATATACCAAGTTAGACCACTGATTTATCTAATCCAGTGTTGTGGATACTGACTGACAATGGCCCACTGGGATTTTAAGCAGGGGTTTTTCCAGCTACACTTGGGAATGAACCCTGGAACTTCTGAATGAAAAGCATGTGCTCTACCTCTGGACCGCAGCACCTCTCTGGCCTTTCCGCTGCTGACATCTGCACCCTGGAATGTTTGTTCCTTGGGAATGGAGCCCTTAGCAGAAAAAAATATTTCTCACATCTGATTTATGTAGTGCTTGGAACACTACGGCCATTAGCAAATGCTGAATAGAAATGATATCTATGGCGTCTAAATCTATAAATACTTTGTGTACGGGAAACATCATTTATATGGACAAGGAATGCGCATACACAAAAACTATTTTGTTTTATATATAGTCACATCAGATACAAAGTTCTAAAGTCAAAGCAAGTAACTCCCCGCCCCCCTCCACCCCATCTTGCTTCTTGGCTCAGTCAGGCTATGCAGGGAAATCCTCTGGCAAGCATCAAGTGTCTAAAATTCCCATCAGGGAGTGGCATTGGCAGAAAAAATAACCCCAGGCAGTTCCTTGACTCTGCGAGGATTATGCGACAACATCTCAATCGAACACAGCCACCCAACAGTGTGCCTGGCATTGTGGATGCATAAGTCTGTGCTTAGAAGAGGCTGACAACAGCCGCTAAAATATTAGCCTGACCTAACATACAAAAGGCTACAGTCCCCAGGCAACATAAAAAAGCCAGGATCCTAAGAAAATCACAGTGCATTGTTTTTGCAAAATAAGCAAGGGTGCTGCTGACCCATCCACTTGAGAGAAATGCTTTGAGCCAGTGAGCACGTGAAATTCTAAGAGTGCTCTCTGCACCGTCACAAAATGTCTGCCATCCTGAGGCTTGCCCATTCACAGCATGGCTCCCAGGGTGGATCACAAAACACTGATTTCCTAAAAGCAAACTGATAAAGCTAGAAGAAAAACAATGCAGCCCAGAACTTAAGTACAAGGCAGAGGCATATATGCCCTGAGCTTCAAAGGACAAAATCTCTCTTCTGAACCTATCATTTACTGCTTCAACATCCATTTCACAAAAGGCAAATTAGTGATGCTCAGAGAAATGCATATGCAAACAGGCAAAATGTACGCCACAAGCAGACGAGTCAGCCAAAGCATGTACTCTCTCACACACAAAACTCAACCAGGCAATACACACAAATACCCAGTATAACAGAGACAAACTATCCCCCCACTCTCTGTCATCCCTTCTAGACCCTTCCCCAGCAAAGATGTTGTCTCACCACCTGGTGCTGTAGGATGGCCCCCATCACCTTCAGCCTACTGTCCCCCCCACCATTGTTTTTGGATAGCTGGAGCTAGATGGCCCGGGAGACCCTTTCTGACTCGCTCTATGTCTTACTCTTTTCTATGTTTCCATGTTCCAGGATCCATTTGCCCACCATTTTTATTTTCTAAGAAGCCTCCTAAAAAAGTAGATTTCAAATCTTAAAATAAATTTATACATAATGAGGGGTAGGGAATCTGAAGGGTGCAACAAATG